TACGATCACACCTCAAGCCAAAATAAATCACGCACTAACAGACAATTTCATTAAAATAGTATAAGATTTAGCTACGGTCATCATTAAATTATTATTATTTATCGGCTACGAAAAGGTTAACTGACTAGTCATATATTGTTAATCAACTTCCAAAAAGTTCTTAATTCATCTGTATATTTTTGAAAAACAAGAATCTGTCAGATTATGACAGTTGACCGCATAAACAAAAAAGAAGGGCCTAGTATTACTTTTAAACTTATTATGCTTTTATAAAATTTACGTTTATTTTTGGAAAGTAACCAAATTAGAAAAATAATCCAAACCCGGCAAGAAACTACAAGTAATAAGTGAGTTTAAAAACTGTAGTTTAATTAAAAAATTACATTGGAATAATTAAAAATATATTGTAATTAATTAGAAATATTTTATTGTAGAGTGCTATCGCCATTCTAAGAAAGCGTCACAATATCTCATTTTGTTCTGTTTATCAAATACGCGCCAACATTGTTATGTCTAACTTTGTTTTCATTTAAGCAACTGTCTTTGTTTTGTGCCACAGATAAAAAAAATATAGAAAACAGTTTAAACATAATAAGGTTAAATTTAAAATGAAATCAGCAAACGAGACAACTCAATGTTTATATTTAGGAGTACATGTAAAAAAGTGTCTTTTGAGGTTATAATTTAATCACCAAATATTCCATAGATGTGACATGAAAAAAAATTGCGTAGACCACAGAGTTACAAACAAACATCTTAATTTCTATAAATAGTGCTATAACAGTCCCTTTTGTTGTTAATTAATTATTGATAATAATGACGGACAAAGATTTACTGCTTTATAATTAAATTGATTGCACGAGTTACGACGCGGCGTGCGATGTTTATTGTCAATTGACACTTCAAATGTTTATTACATATTGTATTCTATTCGATACTAGATGGCGCTGTTAACAATGCGCAAGTTCAAATTGAGTTAATAAAAATTATATTTACCTTTTAAATAACTCTTAACATTAAATACAAACGAAACATGAAATTGTAAATTTTAAAGGTAATTTTTTTTAAGGACGGAGCAAAGGAACATTGATCTTTTTGATGTTTGTATTTTTGTGTAAATAATGATACAGCTGAGCTGACCTTGCCTTACTAGACTACTGATTAAATAATGACATTCTAAATTCGAATTTCGAGTGTTGTAGCACTACTGAGACATATATAGTTGTCTCTGTTTTTCCAAAGAGTATTAAAGGGATGACACTATGTGTCAATACAAGTCACAATCCACAATAATGTTCGTTAGGAGCATTAAAAAAAAACGGAACGTTTTTCTTAACACAACATTCTTATCAAAGAATGTTAACTACATGCTTGACGAAAGAGTTTTTATTATTGCTACTGATGTTTGAAAAACGTCAGACAAAATAAATATCTTATTGCTGCAATTAAGTCGTTAAGTGACCACTGAGGAATTCACTAAGTGTAAATCGAGCGTGATTTTTATTGCTAACCAGAAGTCACGTAATACTTAATAATATAGTCCGATAAACTTATTTGACCCGGTGAGAATAAATGAAACTAAATTACAGTGACTTTCTTGCTGCTGTTAGGTTTTAGATATTAGTTTCTATGCCTAAGTAAGTTTAATATATTTTCTAATAATTACGATAACAGCGCTTCTATTTGGGCCAGATAAATTTGACGTACTATAGCGGAGACAGGTTACCATAGAGCGTGACTCAACCGACTCGCAGATAGAACAATAATCAGTAAAGCAAATTTATGGTTCAATCTTCAAAGATAATTGAAATAAAATAAAAAAAAACATCTGTTTCGTAACCTATGTATTCATCCAGATTATGTTCTACATCTATGCCAAATTTCATCGAGATTCATGCAGCCGTTTTGGAGATACCTTCTAACAATATTTTTCTTTCTGTGCATCCTCTCCCCCGACGGTTAAAGGTAGGCAACGCATAGGCAATTGTTATGTTAGTTGTCTATGTGCAACAGACACTTGCGGCGAGCGGCCACCTTATGATATTAAAAAAAAACTTCTATTCATCCATTCATCTAAGATGTCGCAAAATTATAAATATAATATTAGTAATATATTAATAGTGGTTAACAGTGGTAAAGCCCGCTTTAACATCTTCGCACGAATTGGCCGGGCTCGCCCGGTGAAATACCATGACCACCAGAAGATAGGCGTGAATTGGAAGCAATTCCGCGTTTCGTCTGATGAGTGTGTGTCCCGGAGGCATAGTTTAGTCCTCTTTCTCTTCCCACCTTTCTTCTTATAAGGAAAGGATGGGAAGTGGAAGTGGACTTTCCGGATGAGGGGATGCATGGAAAGGGAATATATTTTCTTTCTGTCCATCCTCTCCTCCGTCGATTAAAGGTAGGCAACGTATATGCAATTGCGTATGTCTATGGGCAACGGTCACTTCGCTATTTCAGCGATTTCAGGTGGCCGCTCGTTCGCTTGCCACCTTATGATATAAAAAAAGCAATAGTTTTCAATTACCATTTATGGTTTGTTTGGTTTACTTAAATCCCAAGAGATAATTGCCGACTAGAAATTCTCGTTGACTCATGGTAAAGGAAAACCACTATTTTTTTATCAAATCATTTAGGAAAACTTTATATATAAATGTTTGAATTATTCATTCATAGTAAATTCCCTTATTTTATAGACTTAGTCATGATTTGGTAAAAAATACAGACAATATGACAAACTATTTTTTTTTAAATTGTAACACAGATTTTGTAGGATATCTTTTGCAACAAAGTGTTCAACTTAATGACCGTTTGTGTTTTAAATTAATCATTTTAAATGCAAATTTGTCATTAATTAAAATAATTATTGTAATTAGCTTCATTTAATTATTAAATTTCTTGAAAATTTTTCATCAATCGATTGAGTATTTTTTCTGATAAAAGACACCAATGTGTATTTCGATTTACATATGTACATTTATCCGACGTTCTTACGGTGAAGGAAAATATCGTGATGCAACCTGCACATATCTGAGAAGAAATTTAAAGATATGTGTGAAGTCAACCAACCCGCATTGGGCCAGCATGGTTGACTTTGGCCTAATCACCTTTAACTTAGGGTAGGCTCCGAGCCCCTCGGTGGGGACGTATAGTGAGCTGATGATGATGTCGTTTTGAGACAAATTAGTTTAAATTACTGTTTAAACGCTTTCCTTATACTTTCAAGGTTGTTTGGTGAAATCGTCGAATTCCAAAACATTGGAAAGAATGTGACTCATAACAGAATTCGAGAACATGATTATACAACAAAAATGGTAAAACATTTCACGAACAGTATCAAAATCTTGATAATAAAAAATGTTTATAGAATGGATTAAATCCTTCTTTATTTGCATTACCGTATCTAGTTACGTGTATGATTCATTACAAAGTATTATTGCGACAAAGTTCCATTATGAAATGTTCTGTTATTTGATTTGAGGTTATTTACAAAAAGTACTTATTAAGTACCTACTTGTGTGTTTTGTCGTTATTTACTCTTTGACAAAATAATATCGAGTCATAGAGTAAAAGTCTAAAAGACTGTTACTCTATGACGCTATCTCCTATATTCAGGGTCGATTGATTGTTACAAAGTAAGGCACTTCATATAGTTTTCTACAACAAGCACTCAAGCGCCTAATGTAGTAAAGACGGCCCTGGATTTTTATAAGAATATCTTACTAATATAACTGTGAATGTTTGGATGTATGGATGGATGGATCTTTGAAGAAAGAATCAAAACGGCTGCATGGATATCGCTGAAATTTGACACAGTTGTCAAAAAAAAACACATGGGCATAGTTACGTTTTTGTCGCGTTTAATTCCCCACGGACGATGTCACGGGTTACAGCTAGTAATAAAATATCGCAAACCAATATAGTATGCATCATAATAGAGATAGTGTTACATCCGACTAAAATAAACAGGAAATCAGTAATTACTATACAGACATGTTACTGATCGATTGTGAAATTAGTTATTTTACAATTTAACTTTTTCTTAATAATCAAATTGGAAACTATAAAAAATAGCGTGACGTGTTATCGGCAATTATTATTATACTCTAGCAACTGTCATTTTGAGTCTAAGATTGTAGATATCAGTTAAGTAAATATTGAGAAACTTTCTTCTTGATATGTTTATCATTCTGAATATTATTTGTTGTACTATAACACGTAATATCACAAATATGATCCTTGATGATGAAGCTGTTTTTGTAACATGTTTTATGATAGTGTATTTACAATCTTACTCTTACTAATATTATAAATGCGAATGTTTAGATGGATGTTTGTTCGAAGGTATCTCTATAACGACTGAACGGATCTTAATGAAATTTGGTATACATATAGAACATAGTCTGAAAGAACACATCGGCTGTTTTTTTTATTCACGCGCGGGCGGAGTCGCGGGCAACAGCTATTTACAAAATAAATGTAAAACTCTTGTACAATTTTTCAAGCACTGTAAATTTATTAATAGAACTATCTTACTAATATAAATACGAATGTTTGGATGTATGGATGGATGTTTGTTAGAAGTTATCTTCAGAACCGCTGCATAAATCTCGATGAAATTTAACACAGATGTAGAAAACAGTCTAGAAGAATACATAGGCTTTTGTTATGTTAGATTTACATACATATTTACTCGAAAAATCCGCAACGATTTAATAAATCTTATTAAAATTTGGCACAGATACACAACATAGTCTCGAGTGAACCTTTTTTTTTATTCTGCGCAGACGAAATCGCGGGCATATACTAGTACTCTTAAAAACTCAGAAGAATAAAAATTTATTATTATATATACATTTCAGTTTTGAATACAACATCAAACGGATATCTAAAAATACTTAAACCAATCGCGTAAAAAGGACAAGGACTCAAGGAAAATGTCTACATTCATCACTTAACAATCAGCGCCCCCTATACTAATAATAAACCAAACAACTCACCGTCTTATCCAATGATGTTTCAGATCCATTTACCGCAAACACTTCGGTACTTTCCGTAGGCGTTATCCTGTTAACATTGACACAATCCAACGCACCCATTTCGCATACAATCCTTAATAGATATTGCAGCAAAGAAATACACAGGATCCTAATGCGGATAGAATATGACTTTTAACGTGGTCTTCTTTCGAAAGCTTATATAGGGTACTTTGAACTGGAGTTAGTTCATTAGCCAGGATATCTTTTGTCTAACTGAAACGGTCGTCTGTGTGTGGTAGACGACGTCGCGTTGGTTGTTCTCCTCGCGATATTGTCAAGAGACTGACAAACGTGCGCGCACGCTCTCTTTGGTATTACGACTGACACGGATATAACACTGCTGGAAGTGCTTATCGTTTACTTGAACCGGTTTTATGTACAGTTGATAATTGGCGCTTCTTTTCTTACTTTTTGATTATTCTGTTTATATGTTAGTGACTGCATATTTTTTTTTATCGTAAATATACCTTGTAAATTTATTTAACTAATTGTCTGCTTATTTTATTACTTAGTTATGATGTATCTTTTTCTTTGTCTTTTAAGGTTGAACTAAAATTTAAATAATGTTGTCTCGCGCTCCACATATGTCTACCATGTTCAATGTCATAAAATAAATTGTCGTTTTAAAAATAAATTGTCTTGGCAAATATTAACAGTTAAACTACATTTAGTATGTATCAATCAACACTTAGTATGTATAGTAAATTTATATTGCTTTGAAGTAATGTGCCAATAATATTTATGAGTCACATCTAGAAAAGTTACATCGTTGTATCACAGGTGAGACTCGTGTGAGTCACACACGTGGTCCGCCGTGGGGAGGTGAGTACCACGTCTCTACAGTTATGTCAGTTTCGGGTCATGATACCATAAGACATAGATATTGAAATTCTTCCTTGAAGTACAACTAACTGTCGCCTGCGACTCCGTTAGCGCGGAATTTGATAAAAAATGTAGACTATGTGTTCTTCCAGACTATGTTCTACATCTATTACAAATTTCATCGAGATCCATTGAGCCGTTATGGAGATATCTTCTAACATACATGCGTACATCTAAAAATTCACATTTCTAATATTAGGAACATAGAGTGTATACATTAGTATAATATTTTAGAACGTTTTTGGTTTCAATCAATAGACCAACTTATATTTGGTTAAATTACTAGTTCGTATTTCCACTAGGGCGATTGATATGGAAAATTATAGTCGCGTAGTGGAAATATGTACTAAGATATGATGAAGTTAGTGCAACTTATTCTATATATAACGGTTATTTTAGATAAAACAATTATACGGAAGCTATGTAAAAACAATTGAATAACATCTCAGAATACTGCAAACAAGAAATGCTTCTAACCCTGAGTTCTCACTGTCGAAAGACATGAACAAAAACATACCTCATATTAAAAAATACAATAGGATTTTGTACAGGTGTTAACATGTGCCTCGCGAAGCGAGACAGGGAGAGGAGGAGTGCAGCGCCCCCTTTCATGGGGAAAAAAAGCAATACATATGAACTGCTTTGAAATACTAACGTACCTACGATTCCAAATACTCAAAATGGCTACTCAGTTTTTCATTAAGAAATTTGACTATATATTGATTACTATACCTTTGGAATAAAAAAAATAGTTCTCCCCCCTCCCTCCCCGTTTATCATTGACTGGCGAAGCCATTGTATACTTGGGAGTGGCAAAGCCAGTATCAAACCACGCGTATAAGATTTCGTTATCAAATAACTAAACAAAAACCGAGAATACTAGTATGTAGTAAGAGTGATATCTATAGTACTAAATAGTACATAATAGTAAATTTTATTTCGCTCATCGTTCATCAGCTCACTATACGTCCCCACCGAGGGGCTCGGAGCCTACTAAGTTAAGGGTGATTAGGCCATAGTCAACGTTGGCCAAGTGGTTGGCGTTGGCGGGTTGGTTGACTTCACACATCATTGAATTTCTTCTCAGATATATGCAGGTTGCATCACGATGTTTTCCTTCACCGTAACAACGTCGGATAAATGTACATATGTAAATTTTATTTACATTATTTTAATCTATAATAAATATTGCGGAAACGTAAAGGTGCGAGACATTTGTTAAACAATGTGCAATAAAAGATAAACATGTGTGAACCGCAATTGTTATAGGTTTTCAACAAACAGGACAGAAGAGACATTCCTCGGAATTACAAAATATATTAATTCTATATCAAAATGGCGGGAAACAACCTAACTGTCAGTGTCAAGAGATTTCTATCTACATCTGTTACAAAGGAGGTTGGACAAAGGAGAGAAAACTGATAAGGGATTTTTCCTTACTTCATCTTACTAATATTATAAATGTTGGGATGGATGTTTGTTTGAAGGTATCTCGGAAACGGCTCAACGGATCTTGATGAAATTTTGCACAGAGGTAGAACATAATATGGAAGAACACATAGGCTACTCATTAAAATTAATTTTATATACGCGCGGACGGAGTCGCGGACGACTGCTTGTTGAGAAATAAAACAGGAATTTGATTTGGGACCTCAGATATAAGAGTATTCGTTTGATGGACGTGCCATCTCAAGTAGGCAATTTTGAATGGGTTTTGAACCCATGAACAAAGTGAGATTCAGATTACTGATCCTATGGAGCATAAACAATAACATGCGAAGCGTTACGTGATCAGCTAACCTTGTGTTCGTTACTATATCCGCGCGGGGAATGACTAATTAAACTCATTGCATGTTAGCTTTATCTTGCATATTATGCTATACGGTTGCACCATCTACCGTCAAAACTAAGCCAAATACATGGTACATTCTCCTCTTGCCTTCCCATTCCTATCCTTTTTTCATAAATAAGAGTTTGGTAAGGGAGTGGACGTAAAAGAGAAATTTCCCCTTTCTGTTAGTCTTTCCCTCCGTCCATTAAAGGTATTTGCGACCTTAAAACTTAATGCATATGTAGGCAACGGTCACTTCCCTGTGTAAAGAAAATGATCTTACTTCTTACCATAATATTATAATTGGAAGAACACATAAATAAAAAACATAATAAGAAACCTTACTTAATCCTGCACGGACGGAGTCGCGGGCAACAGCTAGTTTGTCTACAAATCTAAAAAAAACCTGATATTAGCTTAGTTAAAGAAACAATTGCAAAAGAGCATTCCATTTTCATTTTTTTTTCATAATTATTCAAAATCACATACCGTATAGCCTTAACTGCCAGTTATTTTTAAACCATTTAAATACACAGCCACCGAGCCGTGTGTCCGGTGAGTCATGGAATTTAAAAAAAAACTATTTACTTTCGCGCGCATGACGCACTAAGTTATACAGTTGGTACTGGCCGCACATATTAAATGTTGCCAACAATAGAATAGTGGCTTTTGCGGTTATTGGAAACAGAAGCTTGTATTAATTTCATACGTAAATATTATATTGCATACTAAAAATAAAATAAATTTAAGTTATCTTACTAAATGTTTAGATGTATGGATCGATGTTTGTTAAGAGATATCTTCAGATCGATACATCTCGCTGAAATTTGGCACAGATGTAAAACGCAATCTGGAGGAAGACATAGGCTACTAAGTTTTTTTTACCGCGCACAGAGTCGGCTGTGGCATCTAGTCAATTTATAAACATTATCTGTCTATCAAATAAAAATTACTAATAGTATAAAAAATCTTTTTCTTACCTCTTTTTAAAACTACGCAGTGGAAGATTGAAATTGTCCCCACTGAGAGGCACGAAGTCTACCCTAAATTAGGGGTGACTAGGCCATAGTCAATGCTGACCCAGTGTTGACTTTACACATATCTTTGAATTTCTTTGCAGATATGTGAGGGTTTCACTGTCGTATTTCCTTTTAATAGCTGTGACTTTAGCAACAATGAACTTTTTTCTTTACATAAATTATCCAATAATCGATGTATTAAGGCTTGTCATAGGATATGGCTTAAGAAGGCGGGCCCATGGAAGTAAGCTAAAGCGTTCCCGTGGTGCCCGCCATAATGCGTCAGAGGGCAGTCAGGTTTTAGTGGGTATTCTGGTCACCTTCTGTGGCCGGCGAGTCCCACACTCCCTACGCCATTGCACCGCCCGGCGTAGGCGTGCGTAAATGCATTTCCTGACTATAAAAAAAAAAGGATATGGCTTAAGAGAATAATCGATTTCTGGGATTCGAATTCTCGACCACGTGATCGGAAGTTCGTACTCTTAACCATTAGGCTATCGGCGCTCTATACTTTCACTAGACACTTTCACTTCTATTTGTATACGACCGTTGTCAAGTGAGTTTCCACTGCCGAGACAGTATGCAACATATTGTTATCTCTGTTACGAATAAGGATAAAGATTAGGTCTGAAAGAGATAGCAATATGCCTTAAAAAACTACTGATTACTTTATCTTCTTATTATGCCATCTTTTTTCGAAGGTCGGCGATCATTAAGGGAACTTGTTGTCACCGCAGTTCTGTAAAGTGAACGGGTACTCCGAACCACAGGTCAAGCCAATAAGGATACTTTTTAATTTAAAAATGGCAACAAATAACATGCGAACGAATAAAACAATTGGAAATCGCATAATCAGGAGCCAAGTTACGAAGTAACAAAAATAAAAAAGGACCATACAGACGTATTGCGAAGCTCTTTCTTTTTTTAGAGCCCGCTTTAACATCTTCGCACGAATTGGCCCGGCTCGCCCGGTGAAATACCACGACCACACAGAAACAGGCGTGAAGTGGAAGCAATTCCGTGTTTCGTTTGATGAGTGTGCGTCCCGGAGGCCTAATATAGTCCTCTTTCCCTTCCCATCCTTTTTCTTATAAGGAAAGGATGGGAAGTGGAAGTGGACTTTCCGGATGAGAGGATGCATGGGAAGAGAAAATATTTTCTTTCTGTGCATCCTCTCCTCCGTCGATTAAAGGTAGGCAACGCATATGCAATTGCGTATGTCTGTGGGCAACGGTCACTTCGCTATTTCAGCGATTTCAGGTGGCCGCTCGCTCGTCTGCCACCATATATTATAAAAAAAAATAATAAAGTACTGCTTTTCTTGATATAAGTACCTAATTAAAAATTATTTCGCTTCTTTAGACTGTAGATTATTTAGATTTTTCTTTTATATTATGAAAAAATTAGCTAATACAACTAGTTTTATAATTATAAAACTTTAACGTTTCTTTTGATAATCTGTGCTGTTTTAAGTACCAACATGTAACGTACTTCGTTGAACATTTCTTAATCCAATTCAGTCACGAAGCCGTAAAATATAATTTTGTTTATCGCATTTCAAATTACATAATTAC